TTTTCCAAGGCTTTGGAGGTAAAGTAGGCAGGGCAGAGCAGGACAGGGGCCAAACACGTGTGGGGCTTTGCGGCACAACATAAGAAGCGCCCTCTAGAGGTCCAGCTACTAAAAGACATCTCAGTAATTGCACTTAGCCAGCCAATTCTGGGTCAGTTTGTGCCAATTCTGGGTCCGTTTGTGCCAATTTCTGCTCCTTGGCTCAGGGCAGATGACAGACATAACGACCAGCAAAACCATTAGGGTGATTCTGAGGGCAGAAGGTTCTTACTTCAACACCTGAATATTTTGTGAATCAAACGTATCTTCTTAAACCTAATTAGTTAAAAAAAAAGGGGGGGGGGGCAAGCCTTGTACAAGCCTATTGCTCAGCCTGTCTCAGGGAAAGCCTGATTTTGAATATGTAAAGGCCAGGAATGCCTATTATTTAGTTCTTTGTTTTATTTACTTTACCAGATATTAATTTGTAACCTGGGCATTATCATTGAAAACTTGAAATATGCAAGCGGTAGCCCAAACCTATACACCCAACATGAATTATTGACCTTTAATTACCGAGGCAGTTAAGTTGTGCTATAAACGAGTTCATCTCTGATTGCAGCTATAACCCATGCGGTTTGCAATTGAAAGAAGGGATGATAGAAGATGGCAATATAGCATGAGAACATCCATGAGTTGATTTTAGTGGGTAAACTGACATATATACTGATAACTGTTTGGTCTAGCCAATGCATTGGAATCTAAGGAAAGTGAATAAAATTACAGGAGCATATAATTGGTGTACTAAACTCATTTTCTTATGTTATCACAGCTGGCATCTTCAGGTTATTAAAAGCTTTTAAACCAGTCATCTTCAAAGAGATCTAATTGTCAACATGGTCTTTATACATTTTTCCTGTTAGAACAGAGAAGGAGAGATATAAACAGGCGCAAGTTTTCTAGGCATATCTTTCTTATTTCAAGTTCATGAGGAAATAACCATCCTTTCGATTTCCTCATTTAATGCACCAGGCCACCAAACCACAAAGGATGAGTTATTAACACTATAACCTGAATAAGACTTTTAAAAAATTAATTTATTAGTTCCAGGAAGTTCTGTGATCATTTTGCATATAGAAGGCCCTATAAAAAGTGACTTTCCCAAGTATAAATGCCATTACCAGAACCACAAAGAATAATCTTAGGTCCTGACATTCTTGGGAGCAATTCACACTGTTTCATCTATTTATTCTGGCCATGCAATCCAGGCACATTTTTAGAAAGGTTTTCATACTCTACCCATCATTCATCCACTTATTACCCACACTCTCCTCAAGGAGTCTCCAGCAGGAGAAATAGGGTTAACAGAATAAGACAAAAGAAACAAAAGTACTCTCTCCCTCTCCTATAGCATTCTAAAACAGGGAAAGCAATCCTGTGCATGGAGAGGTAGAAGTAGGAAAATAAGAGAGTGTATCTGAAATCTGTGTTCCTTCCTGTCATACTAGCAAGAGTACAAGTGGGAGCAGAGAGCCATTAGTGGTATGTAGCACACTCTAATTTTATTTTCTGGAACCTGCAGTGTATACCTTCTTGGTCCTGAGAATGTGACCACTTGACCTGCATTGATTCATTCTTGCAGTGTCCGCTGGTCACTGACTGAGGTGAACTAGAGAGTCTCCAGTAACAGAGCTATCTAAAGGCAGCATTTTGGGATGGTTACAGAGCTGAGGCTATAGGGAAGGGAGTGGAAGCTTCTGTTCCCTCTCAGCACCTTGAAGTCCTCAATTAGGTCCTTGAGGGTAGAGTGGTGCCTGTCTTGGCTCCCTCAGAGCTGCTTCCTTCCACTGGACTGCTGCCTTCTGCTCAGTACTACTGACACTCTGGGAGCCCTGTGCTTTGGGGGAATTTAATGCACTGAAGCCATACTGAAGTCCATGACTCCTCTTGAGTCCACTCATGTTCTCAGGTGAGAACACAATCTGTCTGAGGCTTCAGAAAGGCACAAATCCAAGGGACATGCTGAACTTGGAATCATCCAAACACTAAGGTCTGTGGCCTCAATTTCTACTACAAAGACTTCTTGTTCAGAAGGTCTCTTGGCCTCTCATATACACAGACAGCATTTCACTGGTTTTCCAGACATATCTGAAACTCAGATGTGGTACGGCTTAGACTACAACTGGAGTCTGTCCTACGTGTTTATATATTTGACCTCCAGAGACTTTTCAGCACCAGTTGATGAAATAATTTTCTTCCCAAAGTTTGGCTTAATCTATGAATCATTGATCATTAACTTGGTCCCAAGTGAATACAGCCCAGTATGTTGAGGCTCAGTAAACTCTGATTCCGTATTTCAAATCACTGCACATAATAATATTTTTTTATTTTTACTACATCAGTTAAAAAAGTACTATAGCAAAGATTTCATCTATTTGTATGTAAGCATAGCTTGTATATGCAGTAAAGACAAAGTATTCAATTACTACTACTTAGCTACAATGTTAAGAAACTGTTATTGCACATGGAATTTAGCATGGAAATACTCAGGCATCTCAATGCAGAATTATTTTAAGCCCACTACACCTACTGCGTTTGCTGCAGTTATAAGACATCAACTACCAATTATGATAATATTTTAGTTACTTTATATGTCAAGAAAAAAGTCATAAAGTAAGATAATAGTATCTTTCAGAAAAAAATCTGGAGTAAGACAGTTAAATTAGTAATCTAGATAAATTTAAGAAGGAATAACCCTGTGTTCTCAAATTTCAATACTTCATGTTTTTAGTATGTTTACGAGCTAAAATGGAATGCCATAGCAAATTCAAAGACATCAGGGCTTTCCTTATTTTAAGCAATGAATTAAGCCTGAACATAGCACAGAACGTTTAGAGAGTAGACAGCTATTGGTTTCTGGTCTATTACAGACCTGCCATGGTTCTACTATCTGGCCTATTATAGTTCTGGGCATGTCTCATCAAACAGCTCCTGCCATCACATTCATTTCATCATGAGTCTAGTTGTCTTGCTCCCTGCCAGTCTTTTAGAAATAATAATAATTCTAATAATAGTAAAAAAGTAAAGATGTTTACAGAAAGTTATTTCCATTAATGAGATTTCTAGGTCATTGAACTTTATTAATGTTAAAAAACTTTAGATATTTTTGAAGGGTCGATGTTTTTAATACACATACAAATCATATATAATATAAAATATATATGTGCATGGTTTTTAATTTTTCTTAATGAATAATGATTTAAGTTCTAGAATAAGATTTGAGTTCTAGAACATTGATACTTTTGGGATTCATTTATTCATACATGCATCAACATGTACTTTTTGAGTGCTATGTTCCCAGAACTGTAAAAGGCAGTAGAACTAAAATAATGAAGAAGACGTATGAAGAACCCTCATGGTACTCATTCTCTAGTTGGTATGATGAACACTTGCCTCTACAACAAAGGGCCCTGACTTCTACTGTTTTGTTAACTGTTGTTAACTCTGTTGTCAACTCTTAATGTTACTGATACCATGTCTTTCCCAATCTGAATCACCACGCAGGTTTTTCCCTACATATCTCTCCAAGTCAACAGATAGCCATATACCTGGATGGAGCCCAAGTAGCTCACTCCATCCCTGCTACTGATGTGCTGCTAGCTGTACTTCTGGGTAGCTCCCTCATCCCTACTTTGAGTTTGGATTCATCATGTTTCCTTCCTTTATTAGTGTTACTGAACTCTAGTGATCTGATTCAATTACCATTCTCAAAGGTCTCTGGCATTTTTTTTCCCGGAAGACTAGTGTATCCATGTACCAATGAAATCTTGGAAGCCACCATTGCTATTACTTACAAACAGTGCAACAGAAAACAATTTTCTTATGGTTATGGTAGCCTGCCTATAATTCTCTGAACCTCCACCCCTCAAAAACTTTAAAAGACAGGTACCAAAACTTTAAAAAGAGAAGAATATTAGGTTCCTTACATTCCCATGTTTTGTTTTGTTTTGTTTTTAAGATTTATTTATGCATACAGAACTAGGAGGCAGGCCAGATGTGCAGGGGCGGTGAGAAGATTCTCCATAGACAGAGTGGGGAGCAGAACAGGCTGACTGACAAAGTACACTGCTGAGGGGAGCAGCGGGCAGGCCAGGTCTGCCACACCATGTGGGTCACCTCCAGGGTGGGGATCGAACTCATGCTGAAGTGGTTTTAGCTTCTTAGTGCTGTGCTTTAACCTCCTGCACCACCGGGGAGGGCCACATTCCCATGTTTTAACCATTGCTCTTCTATAAAGAGAGCAAGAATCCTGTGCTGCCTTTATGTAGATGGTAGCAAAAGAACTAAGACTCATTTATAGACTCATCAGACATCAGAGCTAGAAAGAGACCACAGTGGGTGACAAGGACGCATGGTGGTTAAGACTTCTAATTTTGGGATCAGATTGTTTGGCTATATCCTTTATATTCATTTGACCCTGGTCTATCTACTCAACATGTCTGTTGACATCTGTAAAATAGTCTGTACCTCGCAAGAATATACAGATGAAACGAATTAATACAGGTACAAATGATTTGTACTATGCCTGGTTCAAAATAAGCACTTGTCAAATGTTAGCTATTATTATGCTTGATTTCTTCATTTGTTTTCACAGATATAGATAGAACCCATAAGAATTTAGTGAACAGAAAGAGGTGAAATCAAAACATCAGGTATCCTAATTCTCACTAAATTTTGATTTTTTTTAATCCTGCTTAAAAAGTACATGTAGCTTTTATATACACTTCACAATTGGGAAGAAGTACATACTGCATCATTTAAATTATTATGAAGGGGCTGACTCAGGTGTAGATCAGACTCCTTACTGTTTAAAACAGAAAATTCAAGCACACAGTTACCTTGTTCTATTCCTACAACACCCACCAGGCAGGGTCAGTTCTACAGTGGCAAGTGACAAAGGACTAGGAAGCCATGTAAAGTTTAATTTTATGCACCTGCAAGGCAACTGTTGCCTTCCTTACCTTAAACTTGTCAACTTCAGTTTTTGAGCAGGTCGCATGGTATGATAGTACCTGAGTCAGAAGAAAAAGAAGACCTTCAATAACTGAATGACTCTGTTTTCTGAAATTCTCCTGGCTTACAAGAAATACATTTTGTTTATGTACATCACATTAAATAATGGGATTTTAATGTTCAACAAGAATTTTCCAAAAACCATGACATAGATAGCCAGTGTGTGACAATGGAACTGTGCAGTTACAGTGAATCTGTTGTCATGTTGACTGGAATGACAGTATGTATTAAAAGCTAAACAGTTCACATCAATTTGTATAGCAATTTACTTTGTCAATGGAATGCAATGAGGCTGAGACCACAATTCCCATATGATGTGAATATCTGTCCTGTAAGATACCCTGGAACATAAATAAAAGGTAGTGTGTGTGAGTTTCTTGGCTACACCATAGGTTACTTGCCGACTTGCTTCCGAGGTGGTCTTTTCCCATCTGCCTACTTTTATTATATATGAAAGATTATATCGTTATGTCCAGCCATCTTAGACCTTTACTGTAAGAAGATCCTATTTCCCTGCTGTATTGCCATCAGCCTTAATTTGTGACTTGTTTTGGCCAGTGGAATGTAGGGCAAGGTGGCAGATGCCCCTACTGAGCAGACCGGGAGCTGTCATGGAAAGCTGCTATCTCCCTTTTTTCCATCTTCACCCCAAGTTGGGAAGGCTATGGCCCCAAGAGGGACTGCTCTTGCAGCCGGTGATCCCAAATGATGAAGAAACAAGCAGAGCTATAGCCAACCCGAAGCTGATGACAGGTCAAGTGGGCAAGAGGCCAACCTTTCTGTTTACTGCCAACGATAACTTATTGACACAGGGATTTAGACATGCAAAGCCAAAGTTGTGGCTCCCTGTGACTGGCGTTGGCACACAGGGGGCCAGATGGCCTGCACTGGTCAATGTAAGTGGGAGTGTCGCGGCCACTTCTTTCCTTTTCCTAGTCTTCCTCTCTGGAAAAGAGCTGTCAGGCAACAAAATCTGCCTTACAAAATTGTTACCTGTGGGGTGATCATCTTGAGTATGAATGATCATTTCATTCATAGCAGACCAAAAAAAAAAAAAAAAAAAGTCTGCCCTGGATTTCAAGTTATGGGGAACAAGCAAACACTCATTTGTTTAAGTCAGTGTTGGCATACTATCCAAACCTCAAACACTAAATCTGAGGAAGGCTAAATCCCTCTTCACCTCCCAACCGCAGAGAATAGAGTCAGTATTTGGCCCTGAAAAGCAACACATTTTATTTTGTTAAACTCAGCATTTCCCAAATCTAATTAGGCATAGAAGTCTCTTTTAGATGATATAGTAAGCTTGGGACATTCCAACCCATTAAATGGGAACTTTGAGAAGTGCTGACCCCTGGCGTGCACCATGTAGGCCAGCAGCGGGGTCTGTGGAGTGTGTCCATCGGTTAGAACTCAGTGTCGGATGGGGGTGCCACTTCCCGGCTCCCACAGTTTGGGCAAGTGACTCCTTCTCTTGGACCTCATGTGTAAATGGTATGTTAATAAAAAACAAACAAAAATAAGCCAGGTACCTACTGGTTAACATCAGTAATCTATTCTTGAAAACAGAGGTTCCACCTGAAAATGCCAACTTCTATTTTTAAAAGATCTATTTATGCATACAAGAACTGGGGTATAGGCCAGGGGTGAGGGGGCTCACCAGAGACAGAGTGGGAAGCAGAACAGGCAGACTGACTGCAGTACACTGCTGAGGGGAGCAGCGGGAGAGACAGGAGAGGTCTGCTGCTCCATGTGGATCAGCTCCTGGGCCGAGCATCAAATTTATGCTGAAGCGGCTGTAGCTACCTTCATAGTGCTGTGCTTTAACCCGTTGGGCCACCAGGGAGGCCCCTATTTTCATTATTTTTAACTGAAAAATTATAGTGCATTATAAGACTTACAATCACTTCCTAAAATTTAAAAACATGATAAATTCCTGCATATGTATAAAACAAAAAAAGTTAGACTAGACGTTGCTTTAAGTGTTACTTTCTGATCATAATAACTAACATAGCTTTTAGAACTGCCTTATCTTCAGTACTACCTTCACTTCCACGATAAACACTTTAATAAAGTCACAGTTTTCTTTCTTTATACCATCAGTTTTTAATGTTTTTTCACTTTGGGAGGAGACTATAGTGACAAAGAAAAACAAGAGCTAAATATTCAAAGTGTGTGACAACACATTGGGACAGCGGTCCTTCCCTGGCCAGTCCTCACTGAGAAAGCCCCTCTGGGTGTTAAGACTCCACCACCTCTCTCAAAATGTCTGTACGTGATCCTGTGTGATTCAGGCCAATTCTGTCTGGAATGTGAATCAAAAGTTTATTTTGTTCAAAAAATATATAACATTTTGGGGACATAAATACATATTTCCCCAATATGAGTAAAGGCAAAAATATTATATTGAGATATGAATACATTCTATGAAAATTGGTTATTAAGAACCTAGAGATTTTTTCTATAAGAATATTCTGTGTTGTGGGCCTTTACATCAGTCTTAGGAATAGTAAGTGTAATGATACATGCTGAATACCCAGCACACATAGAGTCAACTTATATTTGTTGTTTTCATATTCAATTACAATCCTATTGTCTAAATAGTTGGAGAATTATATTATCTTATTGTATCTTCATCCTCTCATATCTATTAATAGATATTTTCAATGCAGAAATAACTGAATAGATTTTTGTTCTTGGCTCAGTTTATTTGTCTGTCATCTTATTAGAATTTCTTACTATTTACAAATCTTTTTTTGCTTTCTATCTTGGAAATTTATCTTTCTTCACCTAAAAAACAGTCTCACAAAAACTCAAACTGAAGTTCAAGATCTCTGCCACTAGGTGGTGCTTAGTAAGGCTTTTTCTGTGTAAGGCGTACTTGCTTTCTCCCCTTGTTTAAATCTACTGAACCCACTTTCTTCACTTGTTAACAAAGAAAAACACTTAACTTCCCTGAACTGAAACTATTTGTATCAGTGAAAATAAATAATAGAGATTTATTTATTACTGAGCTGCAGCTCTCTGTGTATTTTAGATAACAAGTCCTCTGTTAGAGGTATGTTTTGCAAATATTATCTCTCAATTTGTGGCTTCTCTATTAATTTTTTAATGAATAGAAGTTCAAAAAGGCGACAGTAACTGAGGGGAGAAATCCTACGAAATAAAAATAAATAAATTTTGATCAAGATTAATTTGTCATCTTGTTTCATGTGTCCTGAGAAAATTGGTCTCCTCTCAAGTTGCTCATGATTCTTAAATTTTAGCCACAGGAGTCCTTATGTCAAAGAGGAATGCAGGAGAGTCAGAACTACAGTGAACCTATGTGAGAAAGATTTGACTCACCATTGCCACCTCTGGAGATGGAAGCAGGCCTGTAGAAGCTGGAAAAAGTAGGGAAACAAACACTCTACTAGGACTCCAAAAAGAACAAATCTCTCCTCATACCTGGATTTTAGCCCAGGGAGACCACCTGCAGACTTCTGACATCCAGGACTTTAAGGCAATAAATGAGTGTTTTCTTAACCCACTAAATTTGTGGTAATTTCTTACAGAAGTCACAGGAAACTAATATTATAAATCTGTTTCTCTCCTAGTTTTCCCCAATTCCACAAGTGACATGTCAACCAATCAATTATTGAGACCAGAAACCTGTTATCTCCCTTTTATCTCCCCTCACATCAAATCCATCCAAACAGCTCACTTCCACTGCTACATATTGAATCTTTCCATTTCCACTGTCACAATTCAGGTCCTGCTCCCACCTGGGCTCTAACAATCTCTCCAGTTCTACCCTGGTTTCTTCCGATCTCTATGGCATATTATCAGGCAGAGTGATGTCTAAGAAGTGTAAATCAGATTATTCCACTCCTCCAGCCCTCCCTTCCCTGCTGAAAGCTTATCAGTTGCTTCCCATTGTACTTAGAATAAAATCTAAATCACAGATAGTGACTTAAGAGCTTGCACAAAATGGCCCTTGGCACTGTCCAGAACGCTCTTTGTGCTGTGTACTTTTTCTTTCATGTGTTCTATCCATATGCACCTCCCTTTGGTTCTAGTCACCGAGCTCTTTCCTACTTTAGAAACTTCCCCACTCATATCACCTGGTTTTATCCTCCTGAACTTAGGTTAACTGTCACCTCTTCATTAAGGTCCTCTCCCATCACTTTGAAAAACCCTCTCTCTCACCATGATGCTCTGAGTAAACAGACTATTTCCCTCACACCATTCATCACAGTTGGAATTACCTGTTAGCTTGATCATCACCTGCCTCCTCACCAGACTGTAAGTATCTTGAAGGCAAAGATCACATCTGCTTTTGGTCACTTATGCACATCTGGTCCCTGAGAGTGTCCCTGATAGTTAGCTGGCACTCCATAAATATTTGATTAATCAAGGAACATAAAATAATCTGAAAACAATCTCTTCATTCCCCAGATAGATCACTGCTTTTATTAGTAGTGTCCTGCATTGGTGTCTTTTCTTCAATGAATTTCTAATAATCTTAATGCCTAAAGTGAGCACTATAGGTGGGGTTGCCAAATTTAACACATAAAAATACAGAACACCCAATTAAATTTGAATTTCAGATCAGCAATGAGTAATATTTTTAGTGTAACTAATTCTGAAGTAATAACTAATTCAAAAATATTGCAAATATTAATGGTTGATGTGAAATTAAAATTTAACTGAGTGTGTCTGTTCTTACTTGGCAACCCTACTTCTACGTTCTCCAAATTAAAAAGTTTGGAGCCAAATATGGAAAACTTCAAACCATATCCTAAAATTTTATGTTCCTCTCCCACCGCTATGCTGCAACATTGCCGAGCACCTTTTTCTCCACAGTATTTAATCTGGCAAATCTAGTGAGGGCCTAGAGTCTGGTATATTTTGAGCAGTGTGAAATAACCTTATTAATCTAAGATTTATGACATATCTATAGATGCTATTGGAGGAAATATAACAAAAGTAGTCCTGATTACTTCCAGTATGATCAGTATTC